GCCATTTCACAGGCCTTGGCCGCCCTCGTGGTCGCCTCTCCCGCTTGCATCCGGCCCGCCGGCCGCCGCCTCCTCGAATTGGCCCGCCTCCACGTACGCCCCTCCCCTCTCCGCCTCCATCGTGCATGCATCGGTGATGATGATGGCCATCGCCGATGGCTCTCTGTCGTCGTCTCGGTCAGCGCTCCTCACCTTCTTCCCCTCCCCCTCTCGCCGCCCAATCCGCAGATGGCGGTGGGGCCGCTGTGCGCAGATCCGCCGGACTGGGGCGGCTTCTCGTCTGCGATGGCGGACGACGACCTGTGGGCGTCTGCCGGCCGCGACAATGGCGACAATGGCGACAATGGAGACGGCATGGCGGCCGGCACGGGCGTACGCGCACGGCTGGCGCAGCTGCTGGCGGACATTAAGGAGGCGGAGGCGGCGGAGGAGGCTCTCCGGGCGAGGAAGCGGGGCAGGGAGGCCGCCGTGGCCCTGGTGGCCGCCGCGTGTCCGCTCGACGCCTTCCGCCGCCAGTTCGAGGACTACATGGGCGCCTTCCACGCGCAGCTGCCGCCGCCGTTCCTCGACCAGCTGGCCCGCGACATCCGCTCGGGGGCCTACCACCACCCGCCCGGTACCAGGTGCGCCGCTGCAACACCACGCCCACACAGCCCACGCCCACGCCCCTTCTCATCTTCGCTCCCCCATACCCCCCCATACCCCCCCCCCAACCTGTGTGCGTGTGCGGTGGTGCGTGTGCGGTCTTCCTTCTCACCACCGCAGGGCCGAGGATGAAAAGAGTATCGACCTGACGCCGACGGGGCCGGGCAGCGGCGATGAGGAGGAGGAGGAGGAGGAGGAGGCCGAGATGGAGCGACAGCCCACGCCCTGCACCACCACGACGGCCACGGTCACGACCACGACGGGCACCGCCTACGCGCGGAAAGACGACGACGACGAGGAGGAAGAGGAAGAGGAGGAGGAGGAGGAGGAGGTGATGGTGGTGGAGTCCGGGCCTCAGAAGAACGGCGAGGAAATCGAGGAGTGGGAGGACGCACAGCAGCCCGACGGTTCGGGAGACCGAGAAGCACCACCGATCGGGGAGAAGGAAAAAGCGAACAAACAGGACGACGACGACGAGGGGGAGGAGGAAGAGGAAGAGGACGAGAGGCCGGCAGGGAGCGGCGAGTGTGACCGGCGGGGGGCAGCCAAGGACAAGCGGCGCCGGAGCGATGGCAGCGCAGAGGCAGAGGGACTCACCAAGAGAAGGAAGCTCCTCACCGACGAACACGACGATGGCGACGATGGCGGCGACGAGGTGAGATTCAACGCCCGGGTCAAACCACACTGGCACCGCCGACGATCCACCGGCAGCAGCAGCAGCACCGCCACGAGGACCACAACCGCGGCTGCCTCCACCGCGAGTGCCGGCAGAAGGCGCCGTCGTCGGTGGACCGAAGACGAGGTGGCCAACCTGCTGGCCGGCGTGAAGAAGTACCCCCTCCCCCCGCGGAGATGGTGAGCCGAGGGGGTCTAACGTGACCGCGCCACAGGTTCGGGGTCGGGTACTGGAAGCACATCGTGGAGCACTACGACTTTGGTGGGCGCACGGCCGTCGACCTGAAGGACAAGTACCGCAACCTGGAGAGGGAGTGGGAGAAGCAGGCGACCCACCACCACCCGGCACCCGGCAGCAGCACCGCAGCAGCACCGGCACGGCGGCGCGTGTCCGCCCCCGACACCAACACCTCGCTCGACGACGACATCGAGGAATGGACCCCCTCCGGCGGGAAGACGGGCCGCAGCAGCCGAGCGGCGACCGCCAAGCCCAAGACGGAGGCCCAGAGGCCCAATCTGGACTTCATCATGACCCGCGGCGGCCAGGAGCACAGGAGGAGGAGCGGCGCGGAGGATTCCGACTGAGAGAGAGAGAGAGAGCAAGCGAGCGCAAAAAGGCTGGTTTCTACGTTCCTCACCATCGCCATCGCCATCGCCATCACATATATAGGGCCGCCGATCACCAGGTCTGGGTGGCGGCGGGGAGCACGAATAGGTTGCTGTCGCGCGACTTGACCCACTTGAGGATGTCGTTGGCCGCGTGGACGGCCTGTGGTCGCGCCACCCACGGCTCGAAGAGGATGAAGAGGAGCACGTCGGACGTCACCCACACGAGGCTGCTCTCCCGGTCGTTGGCGTCCCAGTGCTGTCGCAGCGTGTACGGGTGCTCGGGCAGCGGCGGCTTGCCCCCCCTCACCCTCCGTCCCGCACGGCGGTCGCTCGAGCACCTTCCCGTACAGCTTCTGGTACCGCCGCAGGATCTTGGCCTGCGCACACGACACACGACACGCAGACGCGCGAGTTGGGGAGTGAGCGAGTGGTCGGGAGGAGTGGGAAGAGCGTGGGAGTGGCGACGAGGGAGGAGAAGAGAGGGGGGGGGTTAGTACCTGTTCGGCGGGTGTGTGGTAGGGCGGGTCGAGGGAGGGCGCGGTGAATTGGTGGAGGGCGTTGTGTCGGTAGAGGAAGGAGACGAGGCCGGGCACGCCCACGGCGCTGGCCGTGTAGCTCTCCCGCGAGACCGACTTGGTGATGGCCTCGAGGGCGCCCGCTGCTCGCAGCGACTTGTCGATCTTCTGCTTCCACTCGGCCAGCTCGTAGAACTTCTCGCTGTTCCGCACCGTCGAGATGAGCACCAGGCACGTGCTCTCGTTCAGGTAGCACAGGTAGGCGTAGAGGTAGCTGCACATCATCGATACGCACCCACCCACCCACGGCGATACGCAAAATAAATATATATAACTTAATTCAGTTCCGAGGGAACACACGTCGTCGTTGTGTGTGTCGTGTGTGTGTGTCGTGTGTGTGTGTGTGTGTGTGTGTGTGTGTGTCGTGTGTCGTGTGTGGCGTATGTAAGGTACCCGCCGTCGTTGAACTTGGGAAGGCAGATGGGGACCCAGGTTTCGTTTGTTCGGAAGGTGCCCGAGGACTCGAGGAAGTTGAGGATCAGCTGCAGGTCTGACCATGGAAGAGGAGTGAGGAGGGGATGTTAGCGCGCTCATCCCCCGTTCGCCACCCCCCGCCCCCGCACAACCACGGTCATCGCGCGAGGAGCGGTACCTTCGGGTTTGAGGGGATGCCGCTTGGGCTGCACAAAATTTACAAGCTTGCCGTCCGCGATCAGCAGCGCATATCTAAATCGTGATATTTCGACACACACACACACACACAGGAAAACCACCGGGCGGGCGATGTGAGCCATGTGTGAGAGGGGTAGAAGGGTCGGAAGGGGCGGTAGCTGGTGGTGGCGGTGGTGGTGGTACACAAGGTCTTCGGATTTGATGCCCTGGAGGTAGGTGCCCGTCATGCTTCGGATGGCCGGTTCGAGGGGCAGACACTGCGTGGCGTTGATGAGGTAGGAGGGCTGCTTGTCCAGCCCCGCCACCAGGTTGTCGATGAACTTGGTGCTGCCTGGCCACCGCACACCACCCCCGCAACAGCCCCTCCCCCGCCGCTTAGCAACTGCATTCTCCAACACCACCACCCGCCGGTGGCGGATTGAATGGCGGAGTAAGCGGGGGGGGGGCGAGGGGAGGAGCACCGCGCAGCAGGCTGCGAAGGTCAAAGCAGGGGCGTGTCTCGAATATTTTGGTGATGCCGGAGGTGATGGTGGAGATGATCTGGAGGTGGAGCCACTCCAGCTGCCGCTTCAGCACCGACGCCGGCTACACATATTTGGGGGGGGAGAGAGGGACAGAGAGAGAGAGAAGGTTGCCAACACACGCCAGCCCCACCAGTGGGTGTTAGTCCTCCTCCTCCTCCTCCTCAAACCGTACAAGTACGCCAGCCCACCACGACCGCCGCAGGAGGATGCAAGCGGGGGGGGGATCCAAAACACCAACGCACCTCGCCGGAGCTCGCGATGGCCACGAGGTAGAGCGGCCCGCGGGACATGAACACCATCACGTGGTCCCCGGCGTACATGGATCTGTGCGTGGAATCATCCAACACCACACACACACACCACACACACACACCCGTGTGAACCAGATGGCCGGTAACCGGTCACACATTTATGCAGGTGACAACGTTGGTTGTACCTGAGATCATCGCCGCCGGAGGTGACGAAGGAAAAGATGCCCTGCATGACACCCATCAGGGAGCACAGCTTCTGCTCGTCTCCGTGTCTGCACCCCAACACCACCACCCGCCGGCCAAGCAGTGAGCCCACTCCTCTCAAACTCCAGGAACTCACAACAAAACCGAGCACGCTCTCCACCATGCTCGGCTGCTGCTGGACCGGTTTGGTGCGAAGAAGAAGAAGAAGAAGAAGATAGAGGGTAGCTGGGTAGGTAGGTCAGTCGATCGGTTGGTCGGTGGGCGTACCGGGAGTAGATGGGCTTGCCGGCGTCGGAGAGGATGAAGAAGTGCTTGCTCTGTAACGCCCACTCCCGCCCCACTCCGTCCTCTTCCTCTTCGCGCCCACTGGCGGTTGCTTCAAATTCGGCATCGAAGCTGTCGACGCCCTGCTGCGCACGCACCCACGCCATCACCCGCACCCCGTTAGCACGCCTGCGTGCTACGTGCGTGCACGTGTGCGCGTGCGTGTGCGGGGCATGGGGGAAGAAGAGAGGGAGGGAGCGCGTACCGGGGAGGGAGCATCGGCGTGTCGGCCGTCAGCGGCATCGGACGGTGGCGTGGGAGGTTCGTCCTCGTGTGTTGTGGAATGCTGGCTTGGCGACGCGTGCTGATAGTGGTGGTGGTGGCTGGTGGAGTGCTCCTGCTGCTCGAGCCCGCCCCGGCCTCGTGGTCCTCCTCCTGGTTCCGCTTCCTTGTGCTGCTGCTGCTGCTCATGTGCTCCGTTCTGCTGCTGGTGGCGGTGGTGCGGGGAGGAGGCACCACCGGTCTGGCTCTTGACGCGTAGGGCCTTGATCCGCGCCAAATCTTCGTCCGTAAATTGGATGTCAGCTTGTTGGCTTCCTCCTCCGCCTACCGCTACACTCTCACCCCTCGGCGAAGGGTCGGGGGTGCGTTCGAAGTAGGCGAGTGCGGAGGCCGTGGCGGGCGACGTTGCGAAGAGGTCCGACGCCATCGACGTCGTGCTGCCCCCGTAGAAGCTCAGTCGATTCCATTCCTCAAGGCTTCGGCGCGCGAGAGGGGAAGAGGGGGGCACCCGCCCCTCAGAGAGCATGCCGCCTCCGAGAAGGTAGGGCGACGTCTCCTCCTGCCGGTAAGGTTCCTCGCTCATGCTCTCCTCTCTTTTGGCGCCTCCAGCGATCGATCACGTCACGTTGGCAACAACTGTTACAACTGCTCTCGGGAGAAGAAAAAGAAATTTGTCAAGAAAAAGCAAAAGCAAAGTTGCCGGTGAAAAGAGAAGTGGGGCATGGAGGCACGCGGCCTGGTGGCCCCAGCGGCCATGGTGGCCGCCACCGCTGGCGTGCTGGTGACTACGTCGTTGGCGGCCTTGGCCATCTTCCTCCTCCTGTTGCGTCGAAGCGATCCAGCCAGGTTCGTTGCCTTTTCCCCGGCACTACCACCCGTGCATTGCGAGGGGGCACGCGAGTGTAACCCCTCCACACACCACCCCCGATAGGGAGCACGATGGCGGCGACGAAGAGCCGAGCGCCGATGCAGCAGCAGCCCCAGTGGTGCTGGTGGTGCCCAGGCCCTCCCGGTGGTGGTGGTGGTGGTGGTCGCGCGACGTGCTGGGCCTGGGCCTCGGTCTGCCCCCGTGGCACGATGCCCGGCCTGCGCCCGCAGTGGTGGACCTGCTCCGCCGGCACGCGTGCGTGCTGCTACGCTCCTACTACGCGCCCGTACGTGCGCCTCGCCTTCACCTCTCCCTCCCTCGAGCAGCAATCAGCGCGCGCGCGCGTGGTCTATCGACTCTGTGTGTGCCGTTTGTGTTGGCCATCACACTACTTTTATTTAGGAATCCTCCCTTGGCTGGTCGTGAATGCGTAATATCGCAGGACGAGGTGCGCGACTTCGCAGGCGCCCTGGTGGGACTCGCCTGGCAGCAGCAGCGTCGCGCCAGTTTTCTTGGTTGGCTCTCTCCCCCGTTTGGCCCCGTCGCGCATGCGGCGGTCGATCTCACCACGACCACGATGATGAGCGCAGGGTGCTTCGACTTTGTGCGCTTTGGCGTGGCGGACGCGCCTCCCCTGTTGCGGCCCTACGTGCGCAAGCTGATGGCGGCCGCGCCCGACGTGCCCTTCACCCACGCGTGGATACAGCGGTGCATGACCACACCTCCGCCGGCCCGCCATTTCCTTCCATCTCTCACGTCTTCCTGCCGCTGGCGTGTCGCGGCTCTCGGGCTACAGATACGATGTGGGCCACTTTGTAGCCGAACATTGTGATCCCGGTACCCTCCCAAGGGTGGACGTGGCCTATCTCACGCGTGCTGGTCGGCTGCGGTGCTGCGTTCCCCCCCCCAATGTCTTTCGAAATGGTGCCCGTGCTGTGCAAGGGCGGTTATAGGTACGTACCGGGGCTGTGTGGCGATAGGCGTGTTCGGAGACTTCGTGGGCGCCGTCTCCACCATCGAGGGCGTGCGCGAGGAGGGGCGACCCGGCGACGTCTTCCTCCTTCGGGCCAAGCTCGATGATCGTCTTCCCATGCCCCTGCACCAGGTGGCGCACGCCTTCCCTTCCCTTCACCTCCCCCTCTACGGACTCGCATGCCTGGGCCAATGGGGGCTGCGCCACATTTTTACGTAGTACTGACCTCGTGTGTGGGGGGGGGTGCGTGGCGGGGGAGCGCAGGTGTCGCCGGTGGTGTGGGGCACGCGGTACATCATTCTGCTCACCGCCGTCGATCCCGTCACGAGGACCTCCTCGGTCGCGTCAGCCTCGTCCTCGTCCTACCTGTGAACTGCAGCTGTCCGTCCGGGTCGTGGTGGGGCCACGGGTCTCCTCGAGCGCAGGCGGGAGAGCGGGCGGTGGCTCGAAGGCGGGGAACGCCGAGTGCTGCGGGTCGAGCATCTCCGCGTACGCGTACGTGGTGCCCGCCAGCCCCTCTGATACCCGTGAGTCACAAAGAGTCGACGAGACGACGGCCGCCCAAAGTCAGCACCACCACAGAAGCCAGCCGGGCAATAGGTGGGACCCACAATCATACACACACATAGACATAGATATTGAAATATAAATATAAAAAATCTGGAGAGGGAGAGAGAGACGATTTGCAGGCCGACGGTACGTACCAAAGAGGGAATAGGGGCAGTCGGGCTGGAGGTGGGCGACGTGCGGGGACGTGAGGGACCACAGCACAAACACGCGTGCCCGCAGCAGGTACTCCTCCTCCCGCGTGTGCCGGTGCAAAGTCAGGAAAGTGTACCTGTGAGACCATGCATTTTGGAAATTAATTATCCATTAGTTCAGCAGCCCACCCACGACTGCGCAACGTGGGTGGAGAAAAGGCGAGCGGGCACCACAGCAAAAAAAAACAAAAAAAAACAAAAAAAAACAAAAAAACAACGCACACAGAGGAGCGTACGCGTTGCCGACAGCGCCGTGGCACAGGGAGATGGACTTCTTGAGGAGGCCCTCCCGCCATGTGCAGTCTGCAGCAGCACGCGCACCCGCCAGGTACTTGCTCTCCCGTGTCAGCTCGTGCAGCCGACAGAAGAGCGCCACCACTGGAAGTGGAACGAACACGCACGTACGCGTCAGTGCAGACACAAAGGAACATGGTGGCGTAGAGGGAGGGCAGTACCGCCAGGGGCGCCGTGACACCACTGCACCGGGTTGACCCGCCCCTTGTCGCCATCTGCGTAGGAGCCACGAAGAGTTAGTGATGCGCCAACAAAAGGTTGTGCGTGTGGTCGTGAGCACGCACGGCACATGGGTACGTTGCCCTCGCGGCGCAACAGGTCCAGCAGGTAGTCGGCCGAGCCGCGTACGGCTGCCATGTCGTCCTGTTGGTTGGGCAATGAGGGTGATGTTGTTGGTGTTACTGACAACGGCGTTGTGCGTGTGCGGTGGTGCGTGTGCACGCATGCGTGCGCGCGAGTGTGCGGTGGTGCGTGTGCCACGTGTCGTGCTGTGAAGTACTGAGGGCAGAAGGTCGGGGAAGTAGAGAAGTGCGTGGAGGATGCCGGCAAGGCCGTGGGCGGCGCCCAAGTACTCCGAGTGGTACCACTTGTACATGAGCGGCGACTCGTGACGCCTGCCGAGGAGGAGGAGGAGGAGGAGGTATGGGTACGGTATAAAGAACGTTGAGCGCCCCCCAATGGTGGCCCGGAGTGTGTGTGTGTGCATGTGTGTGCGCGCGCGCCACGTGCTGTCGCGTGGGTGTACCGTGTGCGGCTGTAGACGCGGCCGTCGGCGACAATGGAGAGGAGCACCTTGCGTGCCACCTCTCGAAAGTGGCCGGGCAGCAGCCGCTCCGGGATGTGGGCCGCGACGAACACCAGGCAGTAGACGTAGCCTGCCATTATCGTGGGGTCGTGTTCACAGACACACGACACAGGCGCCGCGAGAGTAAGCTGCGTTCTCTTCCATGAAGTGAGGGTTGGAGTGGGGTTTACCGGATCGGCCGTAGAGGAGCTCGCACTCAGGATCGGCCAAGCTGACGCGGTGCCACATGAGCAGGCGCTCCACCATCTCGTCCCTGTGCCGCGCCAGCAGATTGGAATTCCAGTCATCGGAGAGCGAGAAGGAGAAAAGAGGAGCTAGATATATGGGAAGGGGTGGGTTGCGGGGGGGGGCAAGAACCGCAGGTCGGGCTGGTGCCGGTAGTGGGCCACCACGGCCGAGAGGGCCATAACGCCGGCCTGTCCGCACAAGAAGCTCCCTACTCGATCTGCCCCGGAATCCTCCTCGTCGTCCTCGTCCTCGTCGTCATCGTCGATGTCGGCGTCGCCGCCCAACTTCTCCACACACCTATGTTTGCCGTGTCAGCTCAGATGGACAAGGGTGTGCGTGTTCATGCGTGTGCGTGCGTGCGTGCACCTTTGCCAAGCGGCCGAGGCGTAGGCAAGGGCGGCGTCGAGGTGGACCAGGCGCTGGCTTTCGTCGGTGGCGGCCTGGAAGAGCCGCATGTGGAGGAGCCCCACCCCGCTCTGCCCTGGTGAGGGCCGACGTCCGCTGCACCAGTCATTCTTCCATGATCACCCACACACACCATCACGTGCCGGTAGCATGGTACCGTGGTAAACCTCGTGTCCGCTGCGGCCACAGTGCGTGAGCCCAGATGAAAAAGACCAAAAAGAAAAGAAAAGAAAAGAAAAGAAAAGAAAAGAAAAGAAAAGAAAAGAAACAAAGCAAGAGCTTGGGGCAGTACTGGCTGGGGGAGGGCGGGTAGGTGGAGGCCAGGGTGCGCAGGTTCACTTCGATGGCCTCGCGCAGGCGGGCCTCCAGCGGCGCCCCGCCTCTTCCTTTGGTCTGTGCGAGGCGCAGGAAGGTGTCGGCGCCCTGTGCCAAGGCTGGGTTGGCGTAGTGCAGCTCATTTTCCAGCCCCTCCTTGCTGCCCTCCCTCGCCTTGTGCTTGGGTTCGCCTCCGCACCAGTCCATACTTTTTCTTTTTCTTTGTTTTGTACAAAGAGCAAAGCTACAATCTTTTCTCGATCTTTCCTCTTTTTCCTAGTCCTGCTGCTGGTGGTGGGCGAGGTACCACTTCTTCTGCAGTTCAAAGGCGAGGAGGGCCACACCGTAGAGCGGGGCCTGGATGGCCATGCGCTCCACCGCCCCCTTGAAGAACGTCCGCGGCCCACCCTCTCGCCACACGGCTCTGTGGACACCGTACGCACCTTGATCAGCCCCCCACTCCTTTGGCACACACGTGTGGACACGCCGGCCAGGGAGGTGTAGGCGTACCTGGCGCATTGGTGCAGGGAGGTGTAGGGGGAGTGCTCCACCTGGTAGCGCGTCTTCACCACGTCGGCGGGGGTGACGGCAGCCGCGGCGACCGCGCCTGCCGCCGCTCCCGCCGCCAGAGTCGGCAGCAGACCCACCTCGCCCTTCGCGTCGCCCTGCAACAACAACACCAACACCAACACCAACACCAACACCAACCAGGCACACCAGCAAAGTGAGTGACAACACAGCTGTTGGGGAGCGGGAGGAGGAGGAGGAGGTGAAGTGGTGCACGCGTACGCGCTGGTGCAGCCAGGCCTGGCGGATGTTGGAGTAGATGGGGAAGAACAAGAACGAAAAGGGCACGTCCCGCAGGAGGGTGGCCGGAAGCCCCTTGTACAGACCTCGGAACCCCAGCTCCCGCACGATGCCCACCGCCGACTTGGTGCCGTTGGCCGGCTCGGAGCCCTGCACCTGCAGCCGGATCTTCACTGCGATGTGGGTGTGGTCAGGCCCACGATCACCACCAGCCAGCCACCACCCTCTCACCCCGGAGCGGGGTGGGTGCGCGATGCGGGTGGTACCGATCTCCGCAGGGTTGGACACGGTGGCCTGGCACATCCCAGCACCGGCTCCCGCCAGGATCTCGTGTGCCAGCGTGATTCTGCGAAGGTAGGGCACCACAACCAAACGTGCGGGGTGAAATCGTGCACCCACCACTTGGGACGAAGTACTTCGTCTGCACCTACACGGCTGCCGAGAAAAGCGATGGTGGGAGGGGAGGGTACGAACTGGTCGTGGTCGCGGGCAGCCAGGTGTTCGCGGAGCTTCTCATTGACGGCCAGCTTGACAGCCTTCTCGGGGGCCACCCCGCACAGGCACGCCCCGAGCCCGCGGTAGAAACCGCGCCAGCCCTCCTCCGCCCGTATGCGCCGCACGCACTCCGACACGCTCTCGCACCACCTGCATCCGTCATCATCAACCACTCACCCACGCAAGTGAGCCAACCCATGGATGCGAGAGCAACCATCACGCAGAGGAGGAGAGAAGGTAGGCGAGGCGCACACCTGTTCTGGAGGCGCGTTTTGACGAGGTCGATGGGGAAGACACTGGTCATACCCACCATTCCGGCGATGCCGCCCACCACCAACTTGGCGCCCAATGGCACCTTCTTCTGTCGCTCACCCGGTAGTGTGGCTTGTCGGCTGCTGGCTTGCCCCTCCTCGCCGGCCTTTGTCTGAGCGAGGAAGGGCGCCTTCTGGCCCGATTGTTTGTGAGTGCTCATAGTGGCCGTGTGTTAGCGCCGATGATACCGGAAGGAGTGTTCTGGTGGGGGGGGGGGTAAGGAGCTCGCTGTGATGTGCTTCCAGTCGTGGTTTAATGAGAAGATGTTGTGTTTATGTGTTTATGACGTGGAGCAAGGCAGGCACCTCTCGGCAGGCGAAGGCCAGGTGCGCTCAAATTTGTGCGGAAATGCACTGGGTGAGAGCAGCATTCCTGATTTAAATACCTGAACATTCCATGGAAGCAACTGGTGGTGGAGCTTTTGGAGGTCATCCTGGAGTGGTTGAGGCTGATGAGGAGTGCTTGCATGCCCAGCCTAGGCTGGTGCGCAGTCTCCAAGACCACACACCACACTGCATATATGCAAGGTCAAGCCTGACAGCTCCATCAACAAGCACAAGGGCTTTGTCACTCTGGGCTACTCTCAGTGATTCCTGATGGAATGCAAAGGCTATGTCAATCTGACCAGACCCAATCATGTCTGTAAACTGAAACAAGTCTCTCTATGGCCTCAAGCAGGCTCCTTCAGGAGCTTATTGGTGGTGGCAATGGTTGAGTGCACAATAGCACAGTGTCCCTGTGGGTTCTGTAGGATGGTGATGAAGTTGTTCAGTCCATGCTTGCCAGTGTGGAGAATGGGCGTCACTTTGCCCTGGTGGTGGTTGTTAAACAGCCTTCTTGTCAATGGCTGTACTGAGCTGTGATGAAGATGGTTGGTCTTCCAACACCTTAGCCCAACCAAAGAACTGCCTGATCCTGAGCCACTCAGGAGGGGAAAAAGAAGGAAGTGATTTGTTGGTGTTGCATATTGCACACAACACATGAGGTTTGTCACAGCGCCCTGTGTATGGCATGTTGGGCTGACTGGGCAAACCTCTTGATGTACCTTTTGAACCTCCATGACAAGTGCTCACTCTGACCCATCTTAAAATTTCTATTGCACACATGACAACAAAACTGTAAAACTGGACTTTATCACATACACATACACAATGACTATGCATTTCCAATTCTTTGTTTATCACATACATGTTGGTGATACTAAAATCTGACTCTACCTTGTTTTGTGTCAGTGCTCCTCAGAACAACCTCTAAATGCACCTTGCTTTTGCTTTCATACCCTCCATCAACTCCATAATCAGTAGCCCACATGCTACTCTCACATCCAGTTCATGTTCATACAGGCCTCTATGCCATCTTCATTGGTTGAGGACATTGCCAAACTCCAGGTGAGTTGCTTTTTTGTCAGCAGTGGGCTCAAAAGTGTTCCCTTGCAACAGTGATTTACTTTAGTAGAACAGGTCAAGCAGGGCGAAGGTGGCAGCGGCAAGCCCAAGCGTAATGGGGAGAGTGATTACCCAGCTGAGTACGATATTTATGAACAGTCGCCAGTTGACGGCTTTTATCCCGTCGGCCAGTCCCACGGCAAACACGGAGCCCACCACACAGTGGGTGGTGCTGATGGGGATGGAGAGCCTGCTCGCAATCAGCACCGTCATCGCAGCACCAAACTCTACGAGGGAGAGTGGAGGGGGGGGCGAGGTAAGGCAGGCGGTCGGAGAAACCATGTAGAACCTCCATTGAATGATGATGATGGTGCATGCATGCATGCCGGCGGTGGCTGCAACAGTGGGCGTACCAATGTTGAAGCCTCGGGAGGAGGTGAGCTTGGTCATGTTGTGGCCCACGGTGGCCATCACACGGTAGCCCCACATGGCTAGGCCCAGCACGATTGCTGCTCCGCCCATCACCAACACCCACCACGGCGTATCCTCCTGTCCGATCAAAGTTCAGCCACCACACCCTTCTCACCGCTCACGAATATCGCAGTGAGAGGGAGGGGGGCTCGTTTGCGTACATCCTGCGAAACGTCTTCGCTGCGGTAGATGGAGATGATGACCACGAACGGCGCGATTGCATTGGACACGTCGTTTGATCCATGCGCGAAGCCACCTGCACACGCCATTACAAACAAACTAAAACAAAACAAAACAAAACAAACGACGGCTCAATGCGGGCTGCGGGCTGAGCAGGCGAGCGTGGCGATAAAGAGGCGCGTACCCACGCATGCCGTCAACACCTGCAAGAAGGAGAACAACTCTTCGGTCCTCTCGTCGAATACCTGGCCGGGGAAACAGAAATGGCCCAGCAGTTGTCATTGTGGCTGAACTCTCATCACATGGCGTGTGTCGGGTGTCAAAGAGCAAGGCAGCAGGGAGGGGGCTCCTACCTCGCTGTGGGCATACATCTCCTCGTTGGCATCGGGGCCATCATCGCCCTCTTTCTCGCTGTCGTCGGCCAGGATTGTCTCTTCCACGCTCAGCGCTTTCTCTGTGAGAGACGACCACCACCGCCGCCGACACTGCGGTGAGTCTTGTTGTGCCCGCCGTAGGGTTGGCCCACAGCACCACCGGGTACACGACAGCAGCAGTGCCTCCGGAAAGCAATTCGAGGAGAGGGGGAGGGCGAGGGAAGGAGTCTTGCATAGGGAGACGCACTCTCGGAATCCACGTCTTCGCTGACCTCGACAGCGCGGCCAGGACGGAGTTTGTTCCATATACGCCGGAAGTAGGCGTAGGGGCTCGCGAAGGCAAAAACCGATGAACCTTCCGTGCTGCTGCTGGTGGTGGTAGAAGTGTGCTGCAGGATTCTTCGCTCGCCGCTTTCGTCGAACAAGCGGTTGATCCGATCCCGCAGGTAGGGCACGACGATGACGAAGCAGAAGAGCAGGGCCGCCAGTGCCACCCCTGGTATGGCACACACACGGCACAGACACGAATCGCGCGCACACGCCCGCACACAGAGATTCACGTGTGACCAGAAGGTAGGAGTCGTCGCGCCAGGCGGGCGGAGATCAATCAGGCGGTCCGTACCGCCGCACAGGAGTGCGATCAACCAGAGAGCCAATCCGTCGAGGCCCAGTCCAGGCGAACCCTTGTAGATGATGAAGAATGTGAGGGCGCCTGGCACGGTATGGCACCCGAACGCGCAACAACCGAAAGGAGGTGAGGAAAAGGAGGTAGTAGGTCATGTCACGCCGATGATTCCCGCTTGGGGACTGGAGATGAATTCAAGGTGTGGGCACGCCGGGTACCGAGGGTGAGGGCGTAGAAGAAGGGCAGGAAGCGGAACCCCAGCGTGAGGGAATTGCTTCTCCGCAGGATGAAGAAGCGAACCAGGAAGTACATGGTGAACGACAGCAGACCCGCTGGACACGCACACGCGCATACAAATGTACAAATGCGCCATGACATATGTTATATGCATATAGGCGGTGCTATGCATGTGAGTCTGCCTCGCGTTCATCAAGACCCCAAACACCCTCCTTCGAACAACCGGCGACCAGTACTGGAAAGGGGAGGGGGAGGAGGAGGCGGCTACCGAGGACGGGCGAAGTCACCCACGAGATGCAGATCTTGCCGATCTGCCACCACTCGACGCCGTCGAACCCCTTGGCCACCAGCGTGAATCCCACAATGGCGCCGACTGCCACCGCACAGTGGAGCGAGGTGACCACCTCCCGCGTCAGCTCACCCGCCAGGCCCCCGGGGGGACTGTGTGTGTTGTGTGTGTTGTGTGTGTTGTGTGTGTGTCTGTGTGTGTCTGTGTGTGTGTCTGTGTGGGTCTGTGTGGGTCTGTGTGTGTCGTGCGGTGTGTGTGTCGTGTGCGTGCGTGCGCACCCATGCCGTGGGTGGTCGAGACGGGCAGGTTGAGGAAAGTGGCCAGCACGAGCCATGCGGCTGCGGCAATGAGGGCCGAGAGCATGCCCACCATCAGCTCCTCGGGATTGTCGGCGTAGAGCGACGGCTTGATGATGTCCTTCCGCAACGCGTCTGTTGGTCAACCCGCCACCCGCCACCCAGCGCTCGTGTCAATTGTACGGGACTCAGTCCGCTGCTCAATTGGTGGAGCCGCACCGACGACGTGGCTGCCCATCAGGACAGCTCCGGCGAACTCCACGATGGCGGCAATGACGATCGCCTGGCGCAGGCTCAGCACCTTGGACCCCACCGAGGTACCGAACTAACGGCGCACGCACGTGCACGGGTAAGAAGCAGCACACTTCCCCCTCCACAAAAACGTTGCTTCTTTCCGGACAAGTGAAAGTTGGAAAAGAAGAGCTGCACGTACGGCGTTGGCCACGTCGTTGGCTCCCAAAGCCCATGCCTGCAGCACGCGAGCATGGCCCAAGTAGTGTGTGTGAACATATATAGGGGTAGATATGTATGCATTCGTTATTTCTCGGTAGGGGTGTGGAGGGGGGGGCAGGGGCGCACAAGAATAAAGGAGATGACGCCACCCACGACGGCCACCCACAGCAGCATGCTGGCGGTACGTCGGTGACGATGTGCGTTGGCCTCTCTTGGCTGTTTTCCGACACGGCACAAACACACCAAGACAAAGCCCGCCCGCGGCTCTCGAGGAAGAGAAACTGCTTTTTCCTTTTCTTCCTCTTTAGCTTCCGCTCTTTCTTCTTTGCTTTTGGGACCACCTGGCGAGAGAGAGGCATGAGGCGCGGCGGAATCGCAGCAGGCCGGACCGCCACCACCACGGCGCGTTCGTCGTTGTTCAAAGCACGTTGCTTCCCCGCGGTGCTCCCTCCTGGCTCTGCATGCACCGCCAGCACCACCAGCACCACCAGCACCTGGCAGCAGCAGCAGCAGCAGCTCAACTGGAGCGGCTCCACCAGCTGCGGCAGCGGGCACCACCACCACCATCATCATCACCACCACCACCACCATGCTGCTGCTGCTCGTACTGCTGCTGTTGGAGAGGGGGAGGAGGGGCTGGTGCTGGGGATAGAGAGCAGCTGCGACGACACTGGGGTGGCCCTCGTCACGCCCTCGGGGCGCGTGGTGGCGGAGGCCCTCTCCTCGAGTCTGGCCGTCCACGCCCGCGAAAGCTACGGCGGCGTGGTGCCCCACATCGCGCGCCGCGAGCACGAGCGCGCTCTCCCTCTCCTCCTCGCCCACGTGCTGGCCCAAGCCGGCGTATGCTGCCCTCCCCTCTCCCCCCGAGAGTGCACTCTCGGGCGCCAACGCGCCCGCCAGCAGCAGCAGCACCAGCAACACCAGCAGTAGCAGCGCCGGCAGCGAGCGGAGGGCTCGGAATCAAAGGCTTTGTGCCGTGGCTGTCACGGCCGGCCCTGGTGCGTCTCCTCCCCTCTCCCCTGGGTACCGCGGTGGTCCCCCTCCACACACACACACTACTCGTGGTCGTGGTCATCCAACCACCCAACCACCCACCCAACCACCATCCACCCACCCACCAGGGCTGGCCGTGTGCCTGTCGGTGGGGCTGGAGACGGCGCGCAACTTGGCCATCGAGAGTGGCCTCCCGTTCATCGCCGTCAACCATCTTGAGGTGCGCCTTTCCTCTTTTCCTTCCGCCGCGATGATGGCCCATCCCCCATGCTGATGTGCTGATGTGCTGATGTGCTGATGTGCTGATGTGCTGATGTGCTGATGTGCTGATGCTGCTGCTGCTGATGATGATGATGATGATGATCTGTCCCCTGGTGGTGGTGGCTGGTGGTGGTGCAGGCGCATGCGCTGGTGGCACGTTTGGCAGAGCCGACGCTGGAGTTTCCCTTCCTCGTGTGTCTGGTGTCGGGAGGCCACACGCAGCTCCTCTACGCGCAGGATGTCGACCGATACCTGCTCCTTGGCGTACGTGTAACCTCCTCCTCCCCCTCGCCAGCGTGATGGTTGTCGCCCATCATCGCGCGCCAACAACACTCAGTGCCGCTGATACCCTCGCTCCCATGCATCATCATCATCATCGCCATCATTATCAGGGCACACTCGACGATTCGCTAGGTCAGTAACTGTGATCCTTCCTTTTTCGCTTTCCCGCATATACCCCTCCCTCTTCCACTTCACCCGGCGGCGGCGGCGGCGGCGGCTCTTTCGTAGATCTACTCATCTCTCTCTCTCTCCCCTCTTGCCCTTCTGATGATCACGTTCTGCTCTCCCTGCACACCCGCCCGCCACGCGCTCACTCGTTTTTGCTGATCTGCCCCCGGGTAGGCGAGGTACACCGCCACTGCACACGACACCCACACCACACCCACACCACACACACCACACACACCTGGTTGTTGTTGTTGTTGTTGCTGCTGCTGCTGCTGGCCACCGTTATATTAACACACCACCACGACGTGGACAGGCCTACGACAAAATGGCTCGCCTGCTCGAACTTGAGCCGACGCGAGAGAACGAACCGGCCGGGGAAATGGTACGCGTGCCAGCGCTCTCCAGCTGCCCACGAGTGCACTTCTTCTCCACAAAGAAGCAGCAGCAGCAGCAGCAGACGTCTCTCGCTCGTGAGTGGGTGGATGCTGATCGATGGGATACGCGTGCGTGCGTGCGTGCGTGGCCTTCCTCGTTCTTCGTTCTTCTTCTGCTCAACGCGGTGTGGTTGGTAGCTGGAGCGGGTAGCGCGGGGTGGGGACGCCGAGGCCTACCGGTTTCCGGTTCCGCTGGCCAAGCAAAAGACGTGCGACTTTTCGTTCTCGGGGCTCAAAACCCGGGTGGTGCGCGAGGTGGCCTCCATGGGCGGAGTCGCGCAGCTGGGCAGGCAGGGCGTGGCCGATGTCGCGGCATCCTTCCAGCGCGCTGCCGTGCGGCACCTCCGCGATCGAACGGGTCGCGCGCTTCAGTGGTGCCAGCTCAACCGCCCCGACAGTCCGCCCAATGCGTTGGTCGTGTGCGGGTACGCTACCCCCCCCTCTCCTCCTTCCAAGGTAGCTCCTCCTGCACGCACTCGGGCTGCCCGCGGCGCTGATCATCCCCCGTCCGTCTCCCCCGCAGGGGTGCAGCCCGCAACGTGCACATCAGGCACATGCTGCAGGAGCTCGCCCGTGAGTACCACGTGCCAGCCATCTTCCCGCCGCTCCCCCTTTGTACCGGTACTGTACTGCTCCTCACTCCCTACTCCCCACTCCCTACTGCCTGAGAGAGGCTCGCAGCGGGGGAACTCGTCGTGGGGCAATGGTTGGTTCATCTCGCTCCCTCCCTCACAGACAATGGCGTGATGGTCGCCTGGGCTGGTGCCGAACGACTGAGGAGAGGCCTCCTCGATGATCCGCACACAGCCAGGCACTGCCCCCCCCCACGGCAGCACCTCCTATTAGAGAGGAGTTGAAAGAGGAGGTGTTGCTCACACTGCCGCTCTCTCTTTGGTGGGTGTGGTGGTGGTGGGTGGGTGGGTGTGTCATCTGCACAGGTTTCACCCGCGCTGGCCCTTGGACCGCACCAACGCGCTGATGACCTCTCAGATCTTCCCCGGCCATGCGTACAAGCGCCCCCACAAGTCGACCCTTTACGATCCATAAGACAAGGGAAGAGGGTCTGGGAGCTGGGAGAATGGAGGATTCGTGCCGGGTTAATTACACTTGTGGCGATGGCGGTCGGTTGGCGCTGTCAAGGGTAGAGGGTGCAGTTGCCAGTGGCAGCGCAGGCCGTGACACACGACGAGGGCCGGGAGGCGCCAGCGCCGGCGGAATGTCGGTCGGCCATGAAGGGCTTGAAGTCCTGTTTGGGGATGCACCAATCGCTGCCGAACTGCTGCGTGAGGACGTAAAAGGGGTCGTGCGGGCAGTGGAACACGCGGCCTTCGAACTGGCACTCGCGCACGGGCACCACGCGAGAGAGCGGCAGGTGAAAGTCCAGCTCCGGATAATGCGAGTCGGTGAGGACGATCTCCTCCTCCTCCTTGCCCCCTTCCCCGCTGGTCTGCTTCACTTCGTAGTCGGCCACGTCCACGTAGATGGGCGTCACGCGATTGTGGAACACGCGGAAGGCGCCCCTCTGCGCCATAGAAGGTGAGCCCCCACCAGCCACCACCAACCACCACCGCCACCACCACCCGCCGCCACGTCGCAGCGGCGGCGAGAGGGGATCAGTGGCGACATGTGAGGAAGGAGGATTGAAGGGAAAGGAGTTACCTTGATGACAAAGGCGCTCACACCGGGGAGGAGGGCAACGTCGGAGCGGTGGATCATGTGGTACCCGCACACCTGCGAGAGCAAGGGGCCGAGCGCGTAGATTTGATCTGTGCACGACACGCACCACACACGACACACACACGACACACGCACGCACACACATGCACACACACGCCCATCGTACGCAGGTCAGCCTAGCTGGCACTCCGTGATAGGGGCAGGAAGCAGGAGGAGGTGCACCTGTCTCGGAAGCCAGAACGCCGATGTCGATGTCGTTGGTATCGTCCCACGGGATGAAGCCCTGCAGCCCGCCATCATCACCATCATCAGCATCATCACCATCTTCACCATCACCATCACACATCATGCCTTAAGGCATGTTACGATACAACCGAGAGAGAGAGAGAGAGGCCCTCACGAGGAAGAGGGGCGCGAAGGTGGTACGTACCTTGTGGCGGATGGCGCCCAGGAGGGAGCCGTAGTCGAGGAAGTAGGTCACGCCATGCTCCACGAATAGGTCGTGCGTGCACTGCATCACCTCCAGCACCGTACCCCGCTGGTCTGCAACGTTGATGCCACATGCCACGCCACCACCAGCCACCACCGCGCGCGTACGACTACGATGGTCACCAACCCCAGCCAGCTGCCGACAGAGAGGGGGGGAGGAGGAGGAGGAGGGAACTACCAAAGGAGGCGAAGTAGAAGGCGTAGAGGCCCACCACCACCACAAGAGTGAGGCCCACCCCCGCCACCCAGAGCCGACTGCGACTGTGGAGGAGAGGCAGCAGCAGCTGACTAGCCGTGTAGGAAGAGGCGGCAGCGGGGTTACCTGGCCGTCGCAGCTGCTGCTGCTGTTCCCCTGTTGTGGCAGCCACCTCCAGGTCGGACGGTGCGGCCCCCGCAGCCCGACGCGAAATGCTCATCATCTTTCACCGCCTTTATGGATCTTTATTTTTGTTTGCTTGTCAATGATTTATTGTATTTTATTTTACAAGGGCGCCACGTGGCGGTCACACGAGCAAACCAGCGACGCACGCCGTGAGGAAGCAGGCGAGAGAGCCCGCCAGCAGCCTGGGTGGACGGTGAGATGACCGTGGCGGCGGTGGTGAGTGGCGTGGACATCATTTCAGAGCAAGGAGGAGGAGAAGAAACGTTCAACAAGGAGGCGCGTACGCGCGAAGGCCAAGCCGGGCCAGATCTGGCTGCCGTTCCGGACAGATGCCCCCGATGCCGCCTGCATGAAGAAGGGCCGTGTATCAGGCGTCGCAAGATGCCTGGGAAGGGTGGGTATTGGGCGTGTGTCGTGTGTGTGTGTGTCGTGTGCGTGCGTGCGGTGTCGTGTGCGTGTCATGTGTTTCGCACGTGCTGTCGCAAGTGTGGTCAGCACGTGTCGTCGTACCGATCTGTACGCCCATCGACGAAAAGTTGGAGAAGCCGCAGAGGGCGTAGGTGGCGATGATCTCCGCCCGCTGGCTGATGGCCTGCTGATCCACCATCTCCCGCAGGTCCAGGTAGGCCACAAACTCGTTGAGCACTGCAGGCGCAGGCCAAAGGAAACGCGATCATCATCACCAACCGGTGCGCCGGACGAGTAGCGCCTTAGGCGCCTGCCTTTGCACGAGCGCAAGCACTCGGCTGCTGCTGCTGCTGCTGCTGCTGCTGCTTGGAGTTTGTGGGGCTCGTGCAAGCGCGTAGGTATGGGCGTACGTACCCGTTTTCTTGCCCAGCAGGGTGCCCACCGCTACGCAGTCCCCCCACGGGACTCCCAGGAGCCAGGCTAGCGCAGAGCAACACGCGACACATCATTACAACGTCGTTACACGTGTCAGCACACGAGCCCTGAGAAGTGCGTGCGCAGGCAATGTAGCCACCGGGGGGGGGGTAAGGGATAAGATCTGGCGTACCGACAGGTGCCATCAGCCAGCCCAAGACCCACTCCACGCTGAGATGGGGCACGTGAAGGAGGAGCCCGATGGCCCCCAATAGCCCTGTCCGGAGAAAGAGGGTTGGTAAAGAGGGGAGGAGCGGAGGATGATGATGATGCTCCAGATGCCGTGGTAGATAGATATATAGAATATATAGAAAGAGAGAGAGAGATATACCATTGACGAGAGCGATGAGGGCGAGAAAGGCGACGAGAATGCACAGCACATTGCACGCCAGCCTCCCGCCGCTCAGGGCGCCGGCCGCGGCTGCACCGATCACTGGACTCAAGAAGAAGAAGAAGAAGAAGAACGAAGATGACCGAGCTCAGTCAAGCAACCGGCAACAAAAACCAACCAACCACCGAAGTGGGGCTGGATGAGGGGGAGTGGAGTGAGGGGGCACCATTGACTTCGTGTGAGTCGGCGAAGGTGACCTTGACTGTGCCCTGGGTGACAGGCGTTTCGGTCTCGGGGTAGAGGATCTTGGACATGGCCAACGCGGCCGGTGCGGACATGACCGAAGCACTGTGAGAGGGGGGGTGCCGGTTGGTTTTTTTCTCGGAGGATCTCCACCCTGCTGCAGCAGCAGCTTCCAGCAGCCATCACCAGGGGAGGGGGAGATCACGCGTCACCTGATGAGGTGCACGGGGCTGATGCCGAAGGACATGTAGGCCACCATGACGCCACCGGCGACTGTCGCAAAGCCCGACGCCATGACCGAATGCACTGCCGGAGGCGGTGTATGCGTCGTGTGGTGTGTGTGTCGTATGTGTGTCGTGTGTCGTGTGTGTGTCGTGTGTGTGTGTGTGTCGTGTGTGTGTCGTGTGTGGTGTCAGACGACAGCCAAGAAGGAGCGATGACGAGGCCAAGCCAGGGAACGTGCATTCCGACATGGTGAGGAGGGCGATGAAAGGCTTGATCACGAGGGGAGCCTCGGTCTGCCCCACGAAAATGTTGGCCGAACACGAAAGCGATTCGGCCCCTGGCGGCGGTGGTGTCCAATGCGCCGGGAGGCCTCCTTCGGGTGAGTCGCGTGGGTGGGATATGGGGGGTGGGGAGAGACGGGCAATAGGCGATGGGAGACCAAGTACCGGAAGTGTCGAGGGTCTTCACCATCACCCATGCCACGCCCTTGACCAGCACCTGCACCACACCCAAGTGGTACATCACTGACCCACGAGGATTAAATGATCGCTCCACCACACCCCACTTCACTTCAGCAGCAGCAGCGCGAGGAGGATAGAGGCCCGTCCGTACCGGAGATGAATGAGGAGAAGAAGATGATGGTCGGCAACACTTTGAAGGCGATGTAGTGGTCGGTGAAGTGTGCCCCAAACACAAACTCGGCACCTGCGGTCCCGCACGCGCCTCGTCAACCACGAGCACCCGGCACAGAGCAGTTGCACAGCAGAGAAAACCGTGGGCTAACGCACCGACGTCCGAGTAGGCGAGGAAGTGGGCGGCCCCGTCACCCAGCCATTGGAACGCCAGGTAGCCGACCTCCGTGTAGAGGATCACCGCGCCCAGCCCCAGCTGCAGCCCTAGTCCCCTGCCGACACACACGACACGCGACACACACACACGACACACACACGACACACAGCCGCGGCATGAGAACCGACCACGCGCGCGTGTGCAGGCACGAGAAGAGGAGCGCGTACCAGGCGACTGTGGGCCAGGGAATGGCAGGCCTGTTGTTGGAGGCAAGTGTGGCCACACCGACGAAGGCCACCACGCCAGCCAAGGACGCCCCTCGCTGCAGATTCTGCGCCACCGCCACCGCCGCCGCCGCACACCGGCCATCAGTCCAATCATGTGCAGTGTGGAGGAACGCCAAAGAGTTTTGCCACCGCGGCACCGCCACTTCTCTTCTCCTCTTCTCCCCCTCTCTTCCTCCCGTGGTGGTGGCTGGTGGTGGGTGGGTGGTGGTAATACCTGCAGGACAAGGAACAGGAGCAGGGCCACACCCACGAGGGCGGCCACAGACGCCACGCCCCACCGCAGCACGAGTGCGTGCTGTCGAGCCACCCTGGGGCACCACCACCACCACCACCGGTGCTGCTGCGTCCCCGCCTCGAGCTCCCCCTCTGCAGCACCCCAGGTGTCCCCTTCTCCTCCTCCTCCTCCTTCTTGGCGGTGGTGGTGTAGCGGTGGCTGCTGCGTCCCCGCCTCGAGGTCCCCTCCCTCTGCAGCGCCCCGTCTGTGGCCGCCAGGTACCAGGTAGGCCGGTACTACTACGGCTGCCGGCAGCCGTTGGTGTCCCTCCCCGTGCGCCGCGTGAAGAAGGCCCGTACACTCAGCGTCGCCGCCCTGCTGTCGCCGGGCCATTGCACGCCTCCCGTGTGGTTTGCTTTTTCTTTCTTTCTTTTGCGCCTTTTCATTGCCCATTTTCCTTTCTTCTTGGGTTCCTGTCCAACCACTTCCTCCGAAAGTAGGCCATATTTCCGTGACCGTTCCCGACGCGCCTATCGGGCCTGTTTCCGGCGATGAACTTCCCGAAGCGCCAGATAGGCCGCGTCAAAACTGCACCTTCTCCGTCCGCCTCTCACTTTGCAAACCACTCCCCACCAGCACCATACCACCAGGGCCACGAAGATGAAGAGACTTCAACAGATGAGCGCCCGCACCACCGTGTTGAGCGCGGCCAGTGCTGGCCGGGCCTCAGCCTTTGGTCGGAGGGCCTACCAAGGTAGGAGCAACTTTTCTTCCGCACTGCCCCTCCCCCACCCCACCACCAGCAGCCACCCTTATCTTCCAAACCTGTGTGCTGGCCTCATTTACCGCCCCCCCCCATTATTCTTATTTCTGCGTGTGCGTAACTCACACGTGACGGGGGGGGTTCCTGTCGTGGCTGCTGGTGCAGGGCGGCCCCAAATGTTGAGTGCAGACGACGCTGTGAAGGTGATCAAGACGGGCGACCGAGTTTTCGTCCACAGGTAACCCACCAGCCAGCCATCACAGCAGCAGCCACCACCACCACCACAAGCACCCACTACCGCGGCGGCGGCGGTGGGACTGGTGGAGGGAGAGAAGCGTGCCGCCGGCGGCTCGTGGAGGTCGTGGAGGTGGAGCGTCACCAACAGGCGCGTTATTTGTGTCGTGTCGTGTGTGTGTAGTGTGGCAGCGGCTCCTCAGGCCCTCATCCACGCCATGACGCGCCGGGCACCCGAGCTGCGGGACGTCGAGGTGTGCCACATGCACATCGAGGTATGTGTCTGTGGCCTCCTCCCTCCCTCCCTCCCTCAATCCATCCACCCATACACGGATGGCCGCCACG